TTGACCACTTTGCCAATACAAAACAAAGACGCATTGAATTGGTTTATAAAAATTTCTAATTTACTTTTTTAATTTTGTTTTTTACTAATAAATAGTTGTTGACGTTTCATGTTATATTTTTTGTTAGAATGTGTTACTTTATAACTTGAATGTTATTTTCATTTTTATTTGAGTTTATTGTCGTTATTTTATTATTATAGATGGCTTATATTGTATAAGTATATGCTTTACTTTATACCTATTTGAAGAATATTTTTTATTTTGTTTTACCAAGTTGTTAGGACTATATGAATTAACACCATACAGGAAGCAAATTATAGATAATGACTGACTTGAGGTCCCTGGTTCTTGTATTCTATGTCTTAAAACTTTGGGTTACTCACTGCTGGCCGACCCAACCAAAATAGTCACGAGCCGCCACTGTTTTCCACCATTTTCAACTATTTTCGAAAATTAGTTGAAGACATTTTCTTGTATATTTCGATATCCAGAAATCATTTTCAGCTTCGTTTCTTCGGAAATTTGAGCTAATAGAGAAGTCAGGACAGGTCAGGTCACGTTACGTCAAGTTAGGTCAGGTGCATAAAATAAAAAATAAATTTTATACCAAATGGTATATCAAAAAATTACGATTAGCGCTCTTTTTTTACTTTTTTTAGATTCTAAATTCTATTACACATTAATTTCCACTTCCACTCGACAAACGAACACAATTAGAACCGCCCACCCACCCTGCCTCCTTTGCAGTGATTCATTTTATCCAAACTGAATGCAATGAATGAGCTTATACTGAACAGAAATAAAATTAGTCGTTAGAATGAGAAGAGGACGGGTGGGCGGGACTAGTACTTGCTAAGATAGGACTGATTTTGGCAAATGATATATTTCCCGAAAAAATTGAGGGTGGGTGGGCGGGGCTAGTATTTGATAAGATAAGAGTGATTTTGGCACTTTTGACATTTGCTACCATTTTTCAACTATGTTTCTTATGGAAATTTCGACGCAATCTCGACTCTTTTCGAAATTTAACTAAATAATTTCTCCTCATTTCTTTGATCACTCACGTTTTCCAGAATCATCCATTGAAATATCACAATTTTTAAAACTTTCAAAATATTCGAATTTCACACCGAATTTTTCGAAAATATTGCTCCGTGATCAATACCACGTTATATCTTTGGAATTAGCTCGTCGAGATCTACATCACACAAATTTTTGAGAATTTTTAGCCAACTTTTTTAACATAGAAATTTTACACTATGTATTTGATAATGACAAGATAAGAGTGATTTTTAACATTTTCTACCATTTTCAACTAATTTTCTTATGCAAATTTCGACTCAACCTCGACCATTTTCGGAATTTAACTAAATAGATTTTTTTCTAGATTTTAGACCGCCGAAATCACTTCCGGCCACATTTCTTCCATCACGCCCATTGAAATATCCCAAATTTTAGAAATTTCAAAAAATTAGAATTTCACACTGAATATTTCGAATATATTTCTACGTTATTATAAACATACACATCCCAGAATTGTTTGAAAATTTTAGGTAACTTTTATAAAAAACAAATTTTACACTATGTATTTGATCACACAAGGGTGATTTTGGCACGTTTGACAATTTCCACCATTTTTCAACTACGTATTTTCGAAAATTAATTGAAGAAATTTTCTTGTAAATTTCGATATCCAGAAGTCATTTTCAGATTCGTTTCTTCGGAAATTTGAGGTAATACTTAGAAAAGTCAGGACACGTCAGGTCACGTTACGTCAAGTTAGGTCACATGCATAAAATAAAAAATAAATTTTATACCAAACAGCATATCAAAAAGTTACAATTAGCGCTTTTTTTGTACTTTTTCAGATTCTAAATTCTACACCCTGTCTCCTGTTCAGTGATTGATTTCATCCAAACTGAATGAAATTAATCATCTTATACGGAACAGAACTAAAATTAGTCGTTAGAATGTGACGAGGCGGGGGTGGCTGGGGCTACTACTTGCTAAGATAAGACTGATTTTGGCAAATGACATACTCCCGAAGAAAATAGAGGGTGGGTGGGCGAGGCTAGTATTTGATAAGATAAGAGTGATTTTGGCACTTTTGACATATTCTAGCATTTTTCAACTATTTTCGAAAATTACTTGAGGACATTTTCTTGGAGATTTCTATATCCAGAAGCCATTTTCAGCTTTATTTCTTCGGAAATTTGGGACAATAGAGAAGTCAGCACAGGTCAGGTCACATTACGTCAAGTTAAGTCAGGTTCAAAAAATATAAAATAAATTTTATAGCAAATAGTATATCAAACAAATTACAACTAGTGCTTTTTATACTTTTTTCAGATTCCAGATTCTATTACATATTAGTTTCCACTCCCACTCGACGGAAGAACACAATTTGCCTCGCCCACCCACCCTACCTCCTTAGATTTTATTCAAACTGAATGAACTCAATAATCTTGTACTGAACAGAAATAAAATTAGTCGTTAGAATGAGAAGAGGGGGGTGGGCGCGGCTAGTACTTGCTAAGATGAGATCGATTTTGGCAAATTACATACTCCCGAAGAAAATAGAGGGTGGGTGGGCGGGGCTAGTATTTGATAAGATAGAGTGGTTTTGGCATTTTTGACATATTCTACCATTTTTCAACTATTTTCGAAAGTTATTTGCAAACATTTTCTTGTAGATTTCGATATCCAGAAGTCATTTTCAGCTTCGTTTCATCGGAAATTTGAGACAATAGAGAAATCTGGACAGGTCTGATCACGTTACGTGCATAAAATAAGAAATAAATTTTATAGCAGACAGTATATCAAAAAAGTTACAATTAGTGCTTTTTTTATTTTTTTAAGATTCTATAAGCTATTACATAATAGTTTCCACTCCCACCCGACAGAAGAACTGAAGTGGCCCCGCCCACCAACCCTGCCTCCTTTTCAGTGATTTTATCTAAACTGAATGAAATGAATCATCTCATACTGAACAGAAATAAAATTAGTCGTTAGAATGTGAAGAGGGGTGGGTGGGTGGGGCTATTACTTGCTAAGATAAGACTGATTTTGGCAAATGACATACTCCTTAAGAAAATGGAGGGTGGGCGGCATTGCATTAGCATTTGATAAGATAAGAGTGATTTTGGCAATTTTGATATTTTCTGCCATTTTTCAATTAATTTTCTTATGCAAATTTCTACCCAAACTGGATTATTTTCGAAATTTAACTAATTATACAGGAGTCACTTTCGGCCTGAACACGCTATATTTATGGAATCAGCACGTCGAGATCTACAATCCAGAATGTTTTGAGCATGTTTAGACAACTTTTTTAAATCAAATTTTAATGTACAGGGTGATTATCAAACATTTTTTTTAATAAAACTCCTGTGTAATAAAATATTGACAGACCATAGACAGACAACAGATAAGTAGCAAATAGACGAACACGAGGGGTCTAATTTTCATACTCTAGGGGTTACGAAACATCGAAGAAACATAAAAGTAGTCATTGGTCTAATGGACTGTATTACAATACTTTTTTAGCTTGTACTCAGGAAGTAAAAATTTAAAAATTTGTTGCATAGATAATAAAAATATAATTGTGTTATTGAATTTTAGAATTCTAAGGAAATGAATATATTTTTAATTTTCCCTACGTTTCAAATGGTAGAAAGGATTTCTAAGCCTTGAATAAAAAGTTTGTGCTGATTTCTTTATTGTGCTATTTGTAATTCTCAGTTTTTTTTGTAAGTTTGTTACTGATGTGATAACGTAGACGTGCAAGATTTTAAATAAAACTAAATACTTTTTGTTTTATTCTCTTGTACGAGTTATTATCAACGAGACCAGAAACATATAAACGTTTAGAGTTATGAACCCTAAGTTTTCGGACCGCGTCTGCAATTATATTCACTAAAAAAAAACTGTGCACTACAACTATAATCTTCTATAAATAATTACTAAAATCCAAAAAAACTGTTGCCGAAGTTTTTCGAAAAGCATGTCCTGTGTATGACAGAATTATTAAAATTATTGCGTTTTGTATGTGTACAATGTAAAATTTTACTCGATATTCAAGCACTCTCACGTGATCGTGCAATCCTTCGAAGTGCAAGCATCAATTACCAACTGAATTATGCAAGGAATAATCAGATCCATTACCCTTCTAGAGATAATTGCTAACAAGACCTGGCAATTAAATTGCCTCCGACTAAACTCCTCGACATGTGTGATTAATTAATAGAGCGAACATATGCATTTTTTACTATCAAAATCGAAGGAATAATTGCCAGTAGTGCAGTGTTCAGTGGAACAAAACGAACTAGTGTTAAAAGAAAATACAGTTGATATAAAGAAATAGCAACAAAATTGTAAGTATTTTAACATCTCTTTGCTAACTTACTTGTCCAACATCACGAGCTAACTTATATTAAAACTGTGAAAATGAATCTACTTGTGTCCACGAAAACGGGTCAAACCAAAATTTAAAAAAGTGTAGATAATTACCCTACTTAGGCCGTTTTCATTATTAATAGCATCTTCCGATTAAAAAATGCTTTCCTAGAGATAATTATAGACAGCCAAAATGTATTAAAAAACGAGCATAATTGGTAGGTGTGTAATTAAAGGGTTAAAGTAAATACAACAAATATTTCTCTTTTAGGAACGGCGACTGATAAAGTATAAATAATGAAATTTATAATTGATAGTTTCGAGAAAAAGAAGGAACGGCTTTTCAATATTTTATATCGCAGTTTTTATTGAAAACCGAACATTGCATTATTAATTATTTTACATCCTTGACCACGTTTCACAGTTCTATATTTTGTTGCAGTTGGAGTCCTTGCTTTCATTTCAACCCCAACAAAACCAAAAAACCTTGTCATATATATACACAAAAAAAGAACACAGAAAATCGTATATAACCACATTTTAGGAATAACTTTCTCAGTCCAGTCAGTACCACTTGACACCCTACACACAAATACCTATAATAAATGGAAAAATATGACTGGAAGATCAACATTAAAATAAACATTTTGTTGCTACGAATTATGGGCTTGTGGCCATCGAGTGGCACCTCCAACAAATTCGACTTCTACATATTTTACACTTTCATTCTAGTGAGTTTGTTTATCATAGGTCACATATCTTTTCAAGTTGTCAACATTTATTTCATTCGTGATAATTTGGAGGCACTGGCTGGAACGTCATACATACTTTTAGTAGAGCTTTTAGGAGCCTGTAAAGCTTACTTATTGCTGAGAAACATGACGTTATTAAAGCGACTTTTAACTCTTCTCAACAGCGACTTATTTCAACCAAGAAACGAACATCAACGGATTTTAATAGAACCAAGTATTCGATTTTGGAGAACGATTTACAACGTATTTTTGGTCATGTGTTTCGGATCTAACGCTTTTTGGGCAGTTTTTCCATTTTTGGACAGAATACCAGGACATAGACGACTGCCATTTTTGGCATGGTATCCATACAATGCCCAAATGTCTCCGTACTACGAAATCACTTACGTTTATCAAATTATAAGTATAAGCTACCTGACCCTGGTTCATGTGAATGTTGATACTTTGGTTTCTGCTTTCAATGTATATACTGGGTGTCAGTTTGATTTGTTGAAGGACAGTCTAATAAAAATTGGTGATGATTCGAAAACTTGTCGTGTTGACAATAATGTGACTAGGTGCATCGAGCATCACAAGGAGATACTTAAGTAAAAAAAATGTGAGTGTTTGTTTACTTAATTTCATGATTTTTGTAGTTTCGTAGACAATTGTAACCAGTTTTTCAACTGGATTTTATTTCTGCAATTTTTTATAAGCGGAGTATCTATTGGAATTACCATGTTTCAACTAACTCTGGTAAGTACTTTTAACTTACAAACGTGCTCGCTATTTATTTTATTTTGATTTGTTCAGGTTGTGCCCTTTTCCAACGAATTTTACTCGCTTTTGTCGTACGGAGTGGCCATCATAGTTGAAATATTTATGTATTGTTGGTTCGGAAACGAAGTCCAAGTCAAGGTATAAAATACATTGTTTTAGACGTAATTTAGTTTTGCCTTATCTAGAGTGACACTTTATCTTACGCCGCTTTTGAGTGCGACTGGACAGATTTACCCCAAGACATAAAACGGAAACTTTTATTTTTCACCATGAATTTACTGCAACCTGTGCGACCGTCGGCTTTAAATTTGTTTTATCTTTCCTTGGACACTTTTATGAAGGTAGGGTTTTATTGAGTTCAGTGGTACGTAAAATGTGGGTTTATTTCAGATTCTCAAAACGGCGTGGTCTTATTTTACGCTTTTGCATCAAATGAATTCGTAACTAGTGGAGTAATTAGGTTGGGTTTAGCAAAAGTTTAAGCGTAAAACTTTAAAGCACTTTGATGTTGTAATCTGTGTTTTTTGTAGCTGAATGTGTGAGTATTTTGTGCGAAAAATAATAACTGAAGTAGTAAATAAATAGTAGTGAACTAAACTCAAACGAATTTTTACTTTATTGACTTATCTAGAAATTTATTCGAAAAGAAAACATATACTTTTATAGGAATTTAATTTAAACTTTCGTTCCTTTTCGTACAATGAAGTAGCCGACATTTCGAGAGTGTGTTGGAATTTTTTGGTGTTGCGGCATAACAAAATATTTGAGTCCATATTGCAGAAAAAAATTAACAAAAAGATAGTATGCAATTTCAAGCATTCCTGAAAACAATATAAGTGTACTAAATAAATAAAATTTCACAAAACTCAATAAAATATTTTAATGTTTTTACAAGACTGAAATAAAATTTACTCAAATTATCGTATTAACTTTCAATGTATATACTGGGTGTCAGTTTGATTTGTTGAAGGACAGTCTAATAAAAATTGGTGATGATTCGAAAGCTTGTCGTGTTGACCATAATGTGACCAGATGCATCGAGCATCACAAGGAGATACTTAAGTAAAAAAAAATTTAGTATTTGTTTACTTAATTTCATGATTTTTGTAGTTTCGTGGACAATTGCAACCAGCCTCTGATGTTTTTCCCTTGTTTTTTTGAATAAATTTAAACAAACTTTGGAACACTTCTGGTGCCCTTTTTTTGAAAGAATTTTGAGGGACCTTGGTGTCACCTTTTGAAGAACTTTGAAAAATTTTGGAGATCACTGGTGTCTTATTTTGAGAAAATTTGAATTAATCTTGGTGGCTCCTAATTTTTTGAAGGATTTGAAAGTCTTCAGCTCCTTCAAGTGTTTTTATATTATTCTTAATTTTGGGAGCCCCTGGACTGTTAGTTTTTGAAGGGATTTTTGGAAGCCCGTGGTGTCCTTTTTTGGGAAAATTTTGAAGAATTTGGTCTCTCTCTATTTTCTAAGAAACTTTGGGGATATAGTATCCATTTTTAATAAAAAATTTGAACAATCTTGGGGTCTTCAGGCGTGTTTTAAATTAATCTTGGTGGTCACTTTTTGAAAGATTTTGAAAAAATCTTGGATCCCTTCATGTTTTTTATATCTTTCTTCTTTATAACAAATTTAAACAAATTTTGAAGAGCATATGGTGATCTTTTTGGGGGAAAATTTGAAAAAACTTTGAGAGTGCCTGGTGTCTTTTTTGAAGAAATTTTAAACAATCTTGGAGCCTTTGGTGTCTTATTTCCTGTAGAACAAGTCTTGAAGCCTCTCGAGTATTAGTTTTTGAAGGATTTTTTAAGAATTTTGGGAGTTTTTGTTGTCTTATTTTTTGAAGGCATGTCAACGAATTTTGGAGTTTTTGGTGTCTTTTTTTTTTTTGGAGGAATTTTAACAAATTTTTGGATGCTCGTGGTGCATTTTTTTTTAATTTTGAAGAATTTGGCCTCTCTGTCTTTTTAAGAAACTTTTAGAAATTTACTGAAGCCTGTGGTGTCCTTTTTTAATAAAATTTGGAAGAATCTTAAGTGCTTCTGGTGTCTTATGCTGAGGAACTTGGTGGCGTCTAGTCCCTTATATTTTTAAGGAATTTCAAAGAGTCTTGGGCCCCTTCATGTCTTTCTATATCTTTCTTTTTATAAGCATTTTAAACAATGTTTGAATAGCTTCTGGTGTCATTTTTTGGGAAAAATTTGAAAGAATCTTGGGAGTCCCTGGTGTCGTTTTTGAAGAAATTTTAAACATCTGGTGTGTTATTTTCTGAAGGAATCTTAACGAGTCTTGGAGCCCTTGGAGTTTTTGAAGGAATTTGAAAGACTTTTGATGGTCTTTGTAGTGTTATTTTCTAAAGAAATCATAACGAATCTTGGACCCCTTAGTGTCTATTTTTTTTGAAGAAATTTTAAGAAATACTTGGAAGCCCACAGTGTCTTTTTTTAGGAAAATTTTGAAGAATTTGGTCTATCTTAATTTTTTTAAGAAACTTAAGAAAATTTTGGGAGAGTGTGGTGTCCCTTTGCAATAAAAATTTGGAAGAATCTTGGGGGCTTCTGGTGTCTTATTTTGGGGAAATTTAATTTATAATAACAATAATAATAATATGCTATATTATGCTTAAATTTACAAAAAAATTTACATTCGTCCAAAAAAATAATATACTAAAATAATGAATTTAAATATATAACCATAGAGATTCATACACAGAGCAATATTCAAAAAATTCATCAAAGCTATAGAAAACGTTTTTCCTTTAATACCTTTTAATTATCTTTTTATAGATTATAAGTTAAACTTGGTGGCTGCTAGTCTCTTATTTTTTGAAGGAATTTGAAATAGTCTTGGGCCCCTTCACGCCTTTTCATATCTTTTTTCTTTATAAGAAATTTAATCAAATTTTGAAAAGCATTTGGTGTCTGTTTTTGAAGAAATTTTAAATAACATTGGAAGGTCCTGGTGTCGTATTTTCTGTAAGAATCTTAACTAGTCTTGAAGAGCCTGTAGTCTTAGTTTTTGCAGGAATCTGAAAGAATTTCAGGAGTCTTTGTTGTCTTATGTTCTGAAGGAATCTCAACGAATCTTGGAGCCCTTAGTGTCTTTTTTTAAAGAAATTTTAACAGATTTTTGGAAGCCCGTGGTGTAATTTTCGGAAACATTTTGAAGAATTTGTACTCTCTCTTTTTAAGAAACTTTTAGAAATTTTCGGGAGCCTGTGGTGTCCTTTCTTAATAAAAATTTGGAAAAATCTTCAGAACTTCTGGTGTACTATTTTGAGGAAATTTAAATTAAATCTTGGTGGCTCTTAGTCTCTTATTTTTTGAAAGAATTTGAAAAACTCTTGAGCCCCTTCATATATTTTTATATCTTTCTTCTTTGTAAGAAATTTAAACAAAACTTGAAGAGCATCTGTCGTCTTTTTGTGGTAAATTTGAAGAATCTTGGAAGTCCCTGGTGTCTCGTTTTCTGTAGAAATATTAACATGTCTTGGAGCTCCTGGAGTCTTAGTTTTTGAAAGAATTTGAAAGAACCTCGGGAGTCTTTGTTGTCTTATGTTCTGAAGGAATCTGGACGAATCTTGGAGCCCTTGGTGTCTTTTTTTTTGAAGAAATCTTAACAGATTTTTGGAGGCCCCTGGTGTAATTTTTTGGAGAATTTTGAAGAATTTGGTATCTCTCTCTCTTCTTAAGAGCCTTTCAGAAATTTTCGGCAGCCTATGGTGTCTTTTTTAATAAAAATTTGGAAGAAGCTTAGGTGCTTCTGGTGTCTTATTTTGAGAAAATTGATGGCCCCTAGTTTCCTATTTTTAGAAGGAATGTGAAGGTGTCTTGGGTACCTTCATGTCTTTTTGTATCTTTCTCCTTTATAAGAATTTTAAACAAAGTTTGATGAGCATCTGGTATCTTTTTTTTTGGGAAAAATTTGAAAGAATTTTGGCAATCTCTAGTGTCTTTTTTGAAGAAATTTTAAACATCTTGTGCGCCCCTGATGTCTTGTTTTCTGAAGGAATCTTAACGAGTCTTGGAGCCCCTGGAGTCTTAGTTTATCAAGGAATTTGAAAGAATTTTGGGAGTCTTTCTAGTCTTATTTTCTGAAGGAAACTCAACGAATCTTGGTGCCCTGAGTGTCTATTTTTTTAAAGATATTTTTAGAAATTTTTGGGAGATTGTGATGTCCTTTTTTACTAAAAATTTGGAAGAATCTTAGGCGCTTCTGGTGTCTTATTTTAAGGAAGTTTAAATTGATCTTGGTTGCTGCTATTTTTTTATTTTTTGAAGAAATTTGAAATAGTCTTAGACCCCTTCATGTCCTTTTATAACTTTTTTCTTCATAGGAAATTTTAACAAATTTTGAAAAGCATTTGGTGTCTTTTTTTGAAGAAATTTTAAATAATATTGGAAGTTTCTGGTATCTTATGTTCTGTAGGAACCTTAACGAGTCTTGGAGCCCTTGGAGTCTTAGTTTTTGAAGGAATTTGAAAGAAGTTTGAGAGTTGTCTTATTTTCTGGCGGAATGTCAACGAATATTGGAGCCTTTAGTGCCATTTTTTGAAGAGGTTTTAATAAATTTTATTGGAAATATTTTGAAAAACTTCGTTTCTCTCTCTTTTTTTAAGAAACTTCAAGAAATTTTCGGGAGATTCTGCTGTCCTTTTTTAATAAAAATTTGGAAAAATCTTGAGTGCTTCTAGCGTATTATTTTGAGGAAATTTAAATTGGTGGCTCCCAGTCCCTTAATTTTTGAAAAAGGCTTGAGCCCCTCGATATCTTTTTACATCTTTCTAAGAAACTTAAACAAATTTTGAAGGCAATCTGGTGTCTTTTTTCGGGGAAAGTTTGAAAGAATCTTGGGAGTTTCTGGTGTCTTTTTTGAAGAAATCTTAAATAATGTTGGGAACCTCTGGTGTCGTATTTTGTCGTATTTTCTGTAGGAATCTTAACGTATCTTGGTACACCTGGAGTCTTAGTTTTTGAAGGAATTTGAAACAATCTTGGGAGTCTTTGACAATTTCTGCATAGCTTTGGTTTTACAGTCGGTAAAGAAGGAATTAATTATAATTAAAACATATCTAATCATGAATTCTCACCAACTTAAATAAAGATAACAAATTTTGATTCAGAAATACAAACATGGAGGAAAATTAACTATTTGGGGGGTAAAACTAACCACAATGATGAATTGTGTCCCGTTGGTCCGTGAGGGCGATTGATTTCGAACTAATTCCCGTTGATCGATCATACGGAGATCACTGAGTGGTTCTTTCTAGAAAAATCTAAATAAGTAATTAATTCCCCAATTTATGAATTTGTCGCAGACTAAAAAATGAAAAATAAATAATAGTTTAAAAAACTAAAAAAACACGCTTTTATTGCCAATCGAACTAAAAACTAGAAAATAATTTTTAATGGCAGAATTTAATATTACAGTAGTAGAAGAT